CTGGTTTGGAGTTTTATTGCTGATGTAGGTAGCTTGGGGCAGATGTTGAATGCGTCCGGTTTGTACAGAAACGTGTCGGGCAGAAGTAGGACCGGCAGGGGGTCTGAAGGGTGAGTGATGGGCCCCAGGAGGAGCAGTGTCCGAGCTGGACCGTGACTCGGTGTGGAGTGCTTGTATGGGTTATGAAGATCAGAGGTCATGTGTGAAAGGGGCGTGACCTAGGTCAGTGCAACGGTGATGCCTCCGTGATTGGTCAATCCACAGCGGTTAGAGGGCGTGTCCTTGATGGCATCTGAACAGTCAGAGAGAGTAAATGAGAAAGAGAATGAGAGAGGACAATAGAGAGAGGAGAGAGAGAGAGAGAGAGAGAGAGAGAGAGAGAGAGAGAGAGAGAGAGAGAGAGAGAGAGAGAGAGAGAGAGAGAGAGAGAGAGAGAGAGAGAGAGAGAGAGCATACAAAAAGAAAGAGGGGGAAAATAAAAAACAGAGAGAGGGGAGAAATTCAGAAAAAAAACAGACAATACACGAACATCTTTAAAATAGAAACTAAAACCTAACCAAGCACAAAAAAGCAGCAGAAACAGAAGCAGAAAGACAAAGCAAGGACCCAATGACACACCAACACCTCCTCCTCCTCCCCCTACCCCCCTACCCCTACCCCCTCCCCCCCTATTGCATGATCACCTCAGCTTGCATGTTCACCCTTCTACCCTTCCTAAAGGCTTAAAAAAAAAAAAAAAAATCCTAGCACTTTATTATGTCCTAAGAGGTGGCGATCCATGACTTCCCCCCCCCCCCCCCAAAAAAAAAAAATCCTGAAGCACTTTATTATGTCCTAAGAGGTGGCATCCATGACTCCCCCCCCCCCCCCCAAAAAAAAAAAAAAAAAAAAAAAAAAAAAAAAAAAAATATATATAAATATATATATATATATATATATATATATTATTATATAATATATTATATATCTGAACACTTTATTATGTCCTATGAAGTGCGATCCATGACTTGTCTCTCTTGCGACAGCCCTGCCTCGGTCTTTATCCGGTTGAGAGAAAGGAGAGGAATAGATGGCGAATAATCTATCCGCAAAGACAGGCAGACGGGCAGATACACAGACATGTTATCTGTTTCCGTTTCTGTCTGTTTATCTATTTTTATGCCTGTATCTTTCTTTCTCCTTCTCTTCCTCTCTTTCTTTTTCTTTCTTTCACACATCTCTCTCTCTCTCTCTCTCTCTCTCTCTCTTCTCCTCTCTCTCTCTCTCTCTCTCTCTCTCTCTCTCTCTCTCTCTCTCTCTCTCTCTCTCCTCTCTCTCCCTCTCTCTCACACACACACACACACACACACACACACACACACACACACACACACACACACACACACACACACACACACACACACACACACACACACACACACACACACACACACACACACACAGACCTCCCTTTAAATCGCATTTATAAAACCAGACTCTCACCCCCCAAAAAAAAAAAAAAAAAAAAAAAAAAAAAAAAAAAAAAAAAAAAAACAGAGATAACTTAGAAAATCTCGCCTCGACTGCATAACTGCACATGCAACCTTGCAATGATCGACGGATGAATGATAAGACTTGCATAAAACACGGCAAGAGATAGGCCTCGACTCCCAAAAAACTAGACCTTGGAAAAAAATTCAATTGTATTACACGGACACCTTGGTAAATGCCCAAGAATACGTAAGAAAGAACATCTAATCAAGAAAACAGACAAACAAGAATTTTATGGCCTTCGGAACGTACGTACACTCAAGTGACGGAATAATAATAATCATAATAATAATAATAGCAATAATAATAAATAATATTCAATACTACTACTACTAATAATAATAATAATGATAATTTCAATAATAATAATAATAATTAATTAATAATAATAATTAATAATAAACAATAATAATTAATAATAATAATAATAATAACAAAAATAATAATATTCTTAATAATAATAATAATAACAACAGTAAACACTAGATCGTTTTCTGTTATTTTCACCGAATTCAATATTAATACACAGTTATGCTAATTACGCGGCGAGACAGACCGAGAGAGAGAGAGAGAAAAAAACGCAATTCAAGTATATACAAAAATCTGGCCACCGCCGACGAACGGTATGAACTGCCCAAGGCCAACGTTTAATAATAAAAAAAAAAAAAAAAATGGCCAGCGTACATGCAAAAAAGAAAAAATAAAGAAATAAAAAAGCAGAGACAGAAAGAAAAAAAAGCAAAAGAAAAGAAAGAGAAAGAAAAGAAAAGAAAGAAAGAGACAGAAAGAAAGGAAAAAAGCAAGAAAGAAAAGAAAGAAAGAAAGAAAGAAAGGAAGAAAAGAAAAAGAAGAAGAAAAAACGTTTCTCTGACGAACGTTATTCCTAACAAGCTGCTCATTAGAGTCCTCGTGTTGATGTTCACATACCGGTTCAGCTGACTCTTAAAACTTTCTTACACTTACGATCCAGCTGCGACATACATGCCCCACACCCACTATGTATGCCTGACATCGTGGCACCTGGCATACATAGCCCATACCCACTATGTATGGCTGGCATCATGACATTTGCCATACAAACCCAATACCGACTAAGCATGCCTGACATCATGACATCTGCCATAAATACCCCATATCCACTACACTTGCCTGACATCATGTCATCCGGCATACACACCCCATGCCCACTACGTATGCCTGACATCTTGACACCTGGCATACATAGCCCATACCCACTAGGCATGCCTGACATCGTGGCACCTGGCAAACCCACAATGTATGCCTGACATCATGACATTTGGCATACATACCCCATACCAACTATGTATGTCTGGCATCATGACATCCGGCATACACACCCCATGCCCACTACGCATGCCTGACATCTTCAAACCTGTCATACATACCCCATACCCACCATGCACGCCTGACATCACGATACCCACCACGCATACCTAACATGGTGTTGGCACCGCACCCGATACCCACCGTACATACCTTATATCACAACCCCATTCACAGATATCCAGTACCCACAACGCATACCCACCGCCAAGACAAGAAAGCTCGTTTGCCCCCCCCCTCACTCTCACTCACTCACTCATTCATTCACATCACTTCCCTCCCACTCATTTCACACTTCTACATCCTTTCACTCACTCACTTCCACTCCCAGCCCCCCCCTTCCCTTCCTTCTTCCTCCCTCCTCCTTCCCTTCCTTCTCTCCTCCTCCCCTCCCTTCCTTCTCTCCCTCCTCCCCCTCCCTTCCTTCTCTCCCTCCTCCCCTCCCCCCCTCTACAACACCGACGCCACAACAGCTGACCGGAAGTAAAAGGAAGGAAGGCGAGGGTATGGGAACCTCTTGGGGCAAGCCGACTACCTGCGACCCCTCCCTTAGTCTCCTCCCTCATTCTGTAAAATGCTACTCTTCATTATTATTCAGTCTAATAATAACGCTATTAACTATTATCATATATAAAATATGCTATTTTATATACTATTTTTACCTATCATTATATATAAATAAATATATAAATATAGTGATAATAATAATAAATAAAAAAAAATAAATAAACCAAAAAAATAACAATAATGATAATAATAATAAATAAATAAAAAATAAAATAATAATAACATATTCGATACTCAGGTTAATTAAACAGTTAAACAGGATGCAGGTATATGTCGGGGAATTACAGCCGTCCGTTTCAGATCCATTAAGGTCGTCCTTCAATATAATTACGTTCTACAAAAGAGATGGCTGTTAACGTAGGAATTCTATTGCTCTTCCCTCCCTCGCTCACTCACTCACTCACTCACTCACTCACTCACTCACTCACTCACTCACTCACTCACTCATCTCACTTACTTCTCACTCATTCATTCACTCACTCACCCACTCCCTCCCTCCTTCACTCCCCACTCACTCAACTCACTCCCCCTCCCTCTTAGTGTACCGACTATTTCACCACTCCGACAACCCCCACTTTTCGTTCCCCGCTCACCCCATCCCTTCCTTTTTCTCTCCTCCTCCCCCTCCCTTCCTTCTCTCCCTCCTCCCCTTCCCTCCCTTCTTCTCTCCTTTTCCATTTCCCCCCACTTAATCCTTCCATCTCCTCTCACACCCCATTATCCATGCCTTTCCTCTTTCCTCTTCCTTACACTTACCTTCCCCTTCGTCTCCCATCCACCGTCTCATCCCCTCCTCCACCCACTCCCGTCCCCTCCTCGCCCGCCCACTCCCCATCCTCCCCTCCCCCCCCAACCGTTTCTCTCTCCAGCTACTCCTTACCTCTCTCTCCCCACTCCCTCCCTCCCCCCTTTCCCCACTCCTCTTCAAGAAAACCACCCCCTGAGCAACAATAAAAGAGCATGAAATACATTAACCTACATGCCGCAACCTATACCACCCTCCCTCCTTCCCCCCTCTTCCCCCTTCCCCTCGTCCCTCCCCCACCCTTCTTCTCCCCTTTTTCCTCATCCCTCCCCCACCCTTGCTCCCCTTCCCCTCGCACTTCCTTCCATCTTCTCCTCGTCCCACCTCCACCCTTCCCCTCCTCCTTCTCCCTCTCTCTACCCTCCACCCCTTCCCTCCTCCTCCTCTCCCTCCACCCTCCCCCTCCTCCTACCCTCCCCACCCCTCCTCCCCACCTCCTCCTCTACCCTCCCCCTCCTTCCTCCTCCTCTACCCTCCACCTCCTCCTCACCCTCCACCCCTCCTCCTCTCCTCTCCTCCACTCTCCCTCCTCCTCCCCCTCTCCCTCTACCCTCTCCCTCCCTCCTCCTCCTCTCTACCGCCTCCTCTCTCCTCCCCTCCCCCCTCCCTCCTCCTTCCCCCTCCTCCTTCCCCTCCCTCTCTTCCCCACCCCCTCTTCCCCCTCCCTCCCTCCTCTACTCCCTCCTCCTCCTCTACCCCCCCTTTCCCCCGACCTTTTTCCGACACCGCGTCCACTCGGCCGTTCAGCTCCGACATGCAAGCAGGGACCACCTATGATAAAATGCAGGCACGACATCTGGTAACACACCTTGGGTCTTTTTGTGATTTTTCCTTTTTTTTTCTTTTTTTTTATTATTATTCTGTTAGATTGTCTGGTTTGTCTTTTATTTTCTCTGTCTTTTACAGTCTGTGTGTGTGTGTGTGTGTGTGTGTGTGTGTGTGTGTGTGTGTGTGTGTGTGTGTGTGGTGTGTGTGTGTGTGTGGTGTGTGTGTGTGTGTGTGTGTGTGTGTGTGTGTGTGTGCGTGCAAGTGCAAGTGTGAGTATGCGTGCGTTCGTGCGTGTGCGTATGAGTTTGCATATACATGTGCGTTTACGTGCGGGTGTATATACGTGTCTATTTACACCCACCCCACTTCCCCATTTCTCTCTCTCTCTCTCCCCATATTTCTATTTCCCATCACCCGCCCATCTTCACCACCACCATCGCCATCCAATCCCTCGTGTCTGCCTGGCCTTACCGCCTTACCCCGCCCTTAAGCCCAGGACACGTGGGCGGTCGCTCGGGGAGGTCGCGCTCTAGCCAACGTACCTGAAAAAAAGGAGAAGAAAACGCAATTAATTACATCATTTCACTTTGCTTGCTTGCTTACCTGTCTGTCTGTCTGTCAGCATGTCTGTATGTCTTTGTTTGAGTATCTGTCTGCATAACCTGTTTGGTTTGTCTGTATCTGCTTTTTGTGTTTGTGAGAGATGAGAGAGGAAGGGAAGAAGGGAAGGGAGAGAGAGAGAGAGGGAGAGGGAGAGGGAGAGGGAGAGGGAGAGGGAGAGAGAACAGAGAGAGACAGAGAGAGAGACAGAGTAAAGAAGAAGAGAGACAAATGATATAAGCTGAGGGGTGCCGGAAGAAAGAGAGAAGAAGAAGTAGAACAAGAACAAGAAGAGAACATAGAGAAGAGGAGTGAAAGGCGAACAATAAAAAAGAAGTCTTAGAAAAAGGAGCCACGAGGTAGCTAGAAGAATC